GAGAGCCACCACCTGTGCTGTGGTGAGCTTTTGGGTAATGCAGTTGACTTTGTGTCATTTCAGCTTCTGTAAGTAGTCCCTCATCCATATCCCTGTAAGTAACCCTAATGAAACTCATGGGTTCTCCAAGCTGGACTTTGGTGTTATACTTACTTTGAGGGTTTTTTGTTATTGTTATGTCTATGAGAGTATCACCTGTATGTATGTAAGCGTACCAATGTTGTGCAGTGCTCCTGGAGCTCAGAAGAGGGCAATGGATCTGCTAGAACTGGTATTACAGACAGTTGTTAGATGCCAGGCAGGTGTTGGGAACTGAACCTATGACCTCTGCAAGAGCACACAGTATTCTTAGCCACTGAGAATTTCTCCAGCCCCAACATTATCCTTGCTTTGATCTGTCATTGGTTCTCTATCTGGGGTGATGTTCATGTCTCCTAAAAATGGTGTCACCCAACATAATTGGTGCCCAAACAGGGACCGACAGAATCAAAGATGAGTTTGGGAGGAGTGATTACATGGCCTTGGTTGTGCATAGCAAGGCGTGCTACTGAGGCTGAACAGCCTGAGGGTGGAGCATCTGTGGGGGAATCCCCGTATGGTTACCTTTCCCTATGTGGTATGGGCTAGTGTGCCCTCTTGCTCTATCAGCCATTGCATGCATGGTCCCTACAATGGGTGCTGAAACATGCAAGCAAAGCTGAGTCCTCTACCTGTAGGGAAAGCCTAAATGAAGATCTTCAGGGGAAATCCCAGTAAAGATGTCTTCTGTGTGGTAGGTGATGACATGCCTGGTGTGAGAGTACAGAAATACCCTAAAAAGGGTTGAAGATTCAGAACAAATTTTATGTTCCATCAGAGCAACATGTAAGGGACAAGAATGTTAACAGGCTGCCCACAGGTTGTGTGGCCACTGCTACTGAACGATAAAAATATGTTGAAGGAGCAGGAGAGATGGCTCGTGGTTAAGAGCACTGGATGCTCTTGCAGAGGACCTGGGTTCAATTCTCAGCACCCACACAGCAGCTAATACCTGTTTGTAACCCCAGTTCCAAGGGATCTGATGCCCTCGTCTGACCTCCAAGGGCATTGCACTTACATACATGAAGGCAATACACTCATATACATAAAATAAAAATAAATGAAATATTTAAAAACAAAGAGAAACAGCCAGCTGGGCATGATGGCACACTGTTGGAGACCACTGCTCTACCTAAACTGTGCTGAAAGCATGCTTGACCACACACAATGGCACCTCCAATCAAGAATGACTATGTGGCAAAGGCTGCATAGGCATGTGTGTTGAAGCAGACACATGACACAGTGCCCCCACCCCACATTATACAAAGAAATAACACTCTGACCACTGGTCACAATGCTGTTATGCTTAGTCTTCATCACAGTGAACAAATTTCTTTGCTTCAAAATAACATATTAGGAAGTCTTGACATTTTCTCAAGATTGACTGCACTGAATAGAAGTCACATTGTTTGCCCTGTTAATGCAGATTAAAGCAATAAATACAGAGTGGGATAGGAGCTCAGGGCCTCTGTTGCCCCAGTAGAAAGTCTCTTGATCCCCCACTCTTCAGATTCTAATTAGTTTCCAGGCCAGTTGGGTCTACAGGGAGACCCTGTCTCAAAAAAAACAAAGGGGGAAGTTTGGAGCCAAACAAGGGGCCTTCCTGCTTGGAAATGGGATCACTCAGGTTTCTGTTCTGGCTTCCTCCTGCCATGGCTTCTCTGCCATTATGAATCCTTACCCCTGGAACTGTAAGCTCAAATAAACTCTTCCTTCTTTAAGTTGTCTTGGTCATGGTTCTTATCACAGCAAGAAAATGACTACAGTGGTTAAAAGGATTAAGTTTGGGGGCTGCTGGAAAGATGACTCAGCAGTCACAAGCACTGGCTGCTCCTGCAGAGGACCCAGGTTCAATTCCCAGCACCCATATAGTGGCTAACAGCCATCTGTAATTCCAGTTCCAGGGGAATCCAGTGCCCTCTTCTGACTGCAGGCATTGCACATCACGAGTGTACTTACACATATGCAGAAAATAACACCCATACACATAAAAAAATTTTTAAAGGGATTAAGTTTGCCAGGCGTGGTGGCACACCACCTTTAATCCCAGCACTTGGGAGGCAGAGGCAGGTGGATCTTTGTGAGTTCGAGGCCAGCCTGGTCTACATAGTGAGTTCCAGGACAGCTGGGGCTACAGGGAGACCCTGTCTCAAAAAGACAAAAAAAAGGGGGGGCATCGAAGTTAAAAGGGTGAGCAGCTGTTTCTGCTGTGTACATTCAACTGTGTACCTTTCTGTCTGGAGCACAAAGAGTTCACCCAGCTAAGGAGACAGGTACAGTATAGCCAAGTTGGCAGGTGCAGGTATACCCAAAGAGATGGGCAACTATTCCCATTGGCCCTAGGTTAGACTAAGCAACTAGAGCCAGTTCCACCAAGTTCATCAGAAGTGAGGGAAATACAACAAGTACCCCAGGATGAAACTGAAGGACAAATGTCTCAGCTTGGAAAGCCCAAGCCCCTATCCCCAGCCCCAAACTAAGATAAGAAAGCCCCAGCCTAGAAACTATAATGTCTGGAAGATATCTGCTAGCCTCTGTTGTTCTTAGCTCAAACTGCAAAAAAACAAAACTCAGATCCTTTCCCTTTCCTCACTGCAGTCCCTTCTCCCTCCTCCCACCTGCCCCATTCCTAGCCCCTTAAAAGACTGTACCCCAAGGTTTAGTCTGTTCCAGAGAGACTGTCATCCTTCACTGTTCTAAATAAAGAACAATCTGCCTTGTCAAGATTGGTTTCTCATTTTATCTTTCACTCTAACAGAGACAATCAGACAACTGATAAAAATGGATAAAATCTTTTCACAAGGCCTTGTTTTACTTTAGTATCTTCTTAGTTGTGAACTTCTGAGATCACATGACATTTGCTCAGAATGGATAACAACCAACTTTCAGAATATCCCTCCATTATTCGTTATGGGATGGTGGTTCAGGACTTTTTGTTCTTGTCCTGCCCATCCTCTGTAAAAAGGTTTCCCTTATATGTAGATAACATAATGCCAACCCTCAAAGCATTTTTGAAGATTTAGAGATCCATTTGAGAGACGGATGAGTGCACCTAAAGGAGTAAACATTAAAAACCTGTAAAGGGGCTAGAGAGATGGCTCAGCAGTTAAGAACACTGGCTGCTCTTGCAGAGGACCTGGGTTCAAATGCCAGCACCCAAATGGTGGCCAACAACCATTTATAACTCCAGTTCTGGGGGATTCCTATGCCCTCTTTAACTGCTGCAAGCATTGCACATATGTGATGCATTTATATACACAAGTAAAACACTTATAAAATTAAAATTTTAAAGAAACCTGGAAAAAGGGTATCTTATGAGAAAACATGCTCCAAAAAGCCATAAGATTGTTAAAAATCCCAGTGCTGAAGGTGGGTGACCTCCCTAGGATGCTCTTGGCCAGTGAGGCCTTAGCAGGCCCTAAAAGAGTAAAAGGTATTGACTACCTTTACTGTTGGTTGCATTCCATAACTGAATGGCACAACCCTATTGCTGAAGACATTACATACTTGGTTGCAGGACTTGGAAAAGTAAGTCTAGTACTGAGCTGAAGGTGTCTTCTTCCTGTGGTCTAGCTCTTGTAGTGCTAGAAATTGCTACTAAGGTTGCTGAGGACAATTATGACCCAAAGTCATTCTCAGCTGTGTGAATTCTGCATGCTTCATGATGGAAGCACCAGGCAAGATAGTGCAACAGAGGCACGAGTGGCTATAGATAGAACCAACTTTCTGACTGGACATAAGGCACACTCCACAGAGGAAAATTCACATCTGGTTCGGGAAATTCAGACAAAAACCTATAGCCAAGGAAGTCACAGACCCCAGTGGATAAACTACTACTATTGCTTTGGTAAATGAATAGGACGTACTGGCTGAGGTGCTTCTCAACATGTGCATTTATGACTATAGGTTATTATGGCTGCCAGTCCATTTGTACAATTTTCCATTTCCCATTTTCTGCCTTTTCCTTACTTTGTTTTAGAGTAAAAGAAATACCAGAGACTCAACACCAACCATGCTCTAGAGACAGATGGAAAAATAAAGACACAAAGGTTTAATACTCAGCTAGAGTTAGAGGATCGGAGGTCTATGTCACAACTCCAAGGCTCAGGAAACATTGCAGAAGAGGGAACAGAAAAAAATGCAAGAGCCAGAGGAAGCGGTAGAAATTGTCTAGCAATTTCCTAGGAGATAAGATATTCCATCTTTGAGGATATTAAAACACAAAATGTTAAAAGGGAGGTAAAACAGCAGGATGTTTTAAGGGGAGGTGAAACATTCCATCCTGCAGGGAAACTTAACTAAGCTCAGAGAATAACTCAATAGCTACAGGAAGTCCCTGAAACTGACCAGATTCACTAGGTCCCTAGTGAATTCACTAGGTCACTAGAAGAGACTCTCCAACGTGTCAAGTCTCCTGCAAGTTGTTCAGTGTGCTCCAGGTTTCCACCATTAGAGAGCAGCTTACTCTGCTGAGGTGGGCTTTTGGTGATATAGCTGTCTGAGTCATTTCAGCTCCTGTAAACAACCCCTAATATGGGGAGCGGCCTGGGACAAAGGCCTTGACAAAGATGGCGCCGATATCCGGCTATGACAGTAGTAAACAACCAAACTGAGCATGCTTTGGATTTCCCCTCATCCTCGGGCCGAGAGCGCTCAGATCAGGTGATCCAATAATCAGTTGCCACGTACTAGGCGAGGACAATTTTCTATATAAGCAATCATGGGCCTCGGGTTGGGGTCGGCTCTCTGGTTTCCCCTGAGGACTTTGCACTGCCTGTCGAGATGCAATAAAGCCTTACTGCAGAAGAATCCTGATCGTGTTCTCGTCTCTTCTCGTCCGAGCCTGCTGGCGGGGTGGTCGGGAACAGAGCGAGCAACAATTGGTGCCGAAACCCGGGACACATCAGACACCGCCAGAGACCCCCTGGAGACAGGGAGGATTCAGAACTGCAGGGACCCACGCCGGAGAGGTATGTCCTTTCTAGAATCTGGGTTGTTATCTCTGGGACTAAGCGCTTTCTGGGCTGGAGCGATAGAAGGAACCCTGATAGCTGTAGGGGCTACCATTCTGCTTCTTTTGATTTTGTTTTGCTTCCATAAGTATCACTGCTGAGCTCGGAAGGACCCGGCGTAGATAAGTCGGCGGGGCTCACGAACGAAGGCACTTTCGTTTTTCGCTCCTTGTCCCCTTAAGACGGATGTAGATAAACCGCTGGGGAGAATTGTGCCACATTTAAGTCAAAGGTAGATAACTTGCATTGTGGCTAAGCACTTGATGATAGATTTCATTGCGCCCGTTTTATTGTCGCTGGAAATCTTAGTCATACAAGGAGTTCTGATCACTGCTGCCTTTCTGATCATATATTGGAGAGAAGGAGATGGGCTCTACCCAGTCTCTGGTGACGGCCTTGCAACAGGTCCTGAAGCAACGAGACATCAAGATAGCCCCCAGGACCTTGAAAAACTTTATTAAGGAAGTGGATAGGGTCGCCCCCTGGTATGCCTGTTCTGGGTCGCTAACCCTGGCATCATGGAACAAACTGGGGAGGGACCTAGACCTTAGACAAGAACAGGAGGACCTTAGGCTGGGCACCAAGGCCATATGGAAGCTTATAAAGAATTGTCTACAGGATAGAGATTGTGAACTTATGATAAAAGAGGGACAGCGCTCCTTAGAGAACATACAGGAAGGACTATCAGAAACCGAACGGGGAGACAGGGTTGGCGCCAGGAAAAAGATAATTCCATCAGCCCCTGAGGCTGGATTTCCCCAAGAGGGAAAAGAGGTAAAGGAAGATAATAAGAGAGACCCCCCCCTACAACCCAGAGCTAGGGGAAGGACGGAAACTTTATCCTTTTCAAATGCTTCACGCTTTTGAGAAATGTTTTGAATCTGACTACGAGGGCTACACCTCGGATTCAGAGGGGGACTCCTCCGAAGAGGTGCGGGCCCCCCATAATGAAAAGGGGCCCAAGGAAATGAAAGGGACTGAGGAACCTGAGCCCCAGAAAAGGAAAAGACACCCAGCAGGGAACTCATTACTACCCCCTGCCCTGACACGGGAAATAACAAAGGCTTTCCCTGTCTTTGAAGTCGTCAATGACCAACAAGAGGCCAACAGGGTATATGCCCCTGTGGAGTATAACCAGATTAAAGAATTGGCAGAGGCAGTGAGAAAATATGGAACAACGGCCAACTTTACGTTGGCACAATTAGACCGTCTGGCGAAAGATGCCATGACACCCTCAGACTGGCAGATGATTGCTAAAGCCACCCTCTCCAATATGGGGCAATATTTAGAATGGAAGGCCCTATGGCATGAAGCCTCTCAGGAACAGGCAAGGCTTAATGCTACAGCAATTACGCCTGAACAAAGGGCTTGGACTTTTGAAATGCTTACTGGGCAAGGAGCCCACGCCAATGACCAGAACAATTTCCCATGGGGAGTCTATGCCCAAGTTTCTAGACTGGCCATAAAAGCTTGGAGGGTGCTATCAAGAAAAGGAGGAATAGATAACCAGCTTACTAAAATCCTGCAAAGGAACGATGAGCCCTTTTCAGAATTTGTGGCCAGACTGAGTGAGGCAGCAGCTAGAATCTTTGGGGACACAGAACAGGTTAACCCCCTCATAGAACAACTGATTTTTGAACAAGCTAATCAAGCATGCCGTACAGCTATTGCGCCCCGAAGGACCAAAGGCTTGACAGATTGGATTAGGATATGCCGGGATGTAGGCGGCCCCCTCACCAATGA